AAACAAAGTTAGCATGAAGGATTGCAGAAAGTCTTAATGCCTCTCCTCACATAAAGGATTTAGAATAATCCCATCAATGCAACCAGTGAAAGCTGGCAGAGATCTGCAGCTGCCAGCATGTATTACCAAACATTGTGTTTGAGAACATGAGAGCAGAAGAGACAGATGTGGTGAGTGTGGTGCATTGCTGGTTTCTTGAGATCATCAAGTGAAGAGGAACGAAAAGTATTGTTCCCACAGTAGTACACAGCTGTTCATACCTTTGCCTTTTTTTACTTACAGGACATGTAAAAACTGAAGGAGTTTTTACAGCAAGAAAGGTTCTGTTTTTCCTGTACTATAGTCCTACATAAAGATAAATAAGACTCATAAAATCCACCATGAGAAGACTAACTTTAGCGACAAATGCCAACTGAAATCAACACACATTTCTATAAAGTGGCTACCATGTGAATTATCTAAGCATGAACAGACTTTTTACAACAAACAAAATTTTTCTTGTTTTCTAAGAAACTATGACCATATATATTTTTTAATAAATTTAGAAAAACTACAGAAACAAACATGTTAACTTTGTTCAAGATGCATACATTTAAAAGAGAAAGAGAGGAAATATATCTAAAAAAGAACTGTTAGGCTAAATGTTTACATAGGTATGAAGAAGATTTTTATGCTCCAGGAATTGTCTATTTTTTCAGTTTTTTTCATATTTTTTTATTTTATTGTCATTACACAGTCACAAGTACAGAGCAAAATTACTCTCTGCATTTAATCCATCCCCTTTGGGGAGCAGTGGGCTGCCATTGTGCAGCACCCAGGGAGCAGTGTGGGATTAAGGGTCTTTGCTCAGGGACCCAGAGTGTCAGTTTGTGGGAGTGGGTCTTGAACTCAGAACCTCAGGATACCAAGCTCTATGCCCTAACCACTAGGTCACCACTCCCCTATTTTAAGTCTATAGGAATAAGCATTAATGATGTGGAGTTTTATCAATAAATATGTTATGGAAGAGATGCTCAGTGCAGGAGGCAGTCATGATCAAACCTAGAGAGAGAGAGAGAAGGCAGCTAGTTGCCATGAAGTCCTAATGAAAACCGGTAGAAATGCTTCGCTAACCAAGAAGTGACACTAAATTCTTAAGTTAGGCTTTCTGTCACACCTCTTGCTTGTTAATGAGTAACAGGTTTAAAGTGTGACTGATAATAAAAATAACTAACTGGAGATCAGACTGTTTTTCTGTGCATCCTTCCATGTCTGTAACTATATCCGACTAAAAGACCCACTGAAAAGCTTGAGAGAAGTTTGTCCGACATAAAACTTTGACATTTTTACATGAGCTTAGGAGTATGAACAGAAAAGATGCTTTTTTTAAAAACATGTTTCAGACTGAGCGATGCGGGAGGGAAAGCATGTCTTCCTACTGATTTAGTCTCGACATGAAGCGCATAGAAATTTCCAGCAGTTGTAATGCCATTAAATAAAGATGCCTCTAAAAAAGGAAGTTGTGTACTTCATGGCGCATGCGAAAATAAAGTGGTTTGTTCAGACTGTTAATGTTTAGCAATAGTTTTAGCAGAGATGAAGGTTATTACCACCTGCTTTTATATACTGTGACTAAGCTGTGTAGGATTGTTTCTTTCTAATACGATGAAACAACTTTAATCTATTGCTTTAAATTCCAGATTCTCTCCAAAGATTAAATCTACTTAACATGGCTAATGAAAGTACTCCATATACTGAAATGTGTCCAAACCTGTGAGTTATGTTTGTTAGTTATATTTGACTTAACTCTATA